CCTCGAAGTGAATTGAGTGATCACCCGAATCTTGAAAGGGGAAAAAGGGAGTTGATATAGGGAATCCCGGTCCCATCCCCAAGAGAAGGCACCCTGCCATTTTTACCCCTTTTGTATTCAGCTAGATACAGAACAGCTATTAATTATCCCTCGGAGAAATGTCAGTACCGGCTTTTGTATTTACGCTGAATTCCGCAGGGGTATAGGGATGAGATTAGGTAAGTGTGGGTAAAGAATGCCTAGAAAGAAACAAAGGGAATTTGAATAATATTTTGTTTTTAAGAAATTCAAGTAATATTTAAACTAAAATTTTTTTCAGGATTGGTGGAACAATTAAATGTATGCGCGCACACACACATGCGGAAAGTGAAGCGCTGAATCTCATTATATTGCCTCCTCTGTTTTAACTCTTTTTTTTAAAGGAAGTTTTTATCGAATATTTTGATTTTTAGCGTGGCTGGCTGGCAGTTTGTTTCAACTGAATTTGTCTTGGTTGTCCGAATCATCGTATGTATTCGTTTTTATTCATTTTAACACAGATATGTCTAACAGCGTACTGTTACTGCAGCGCTCTCGTTCAGTTTGGAATTGAAATTTCATGTAACACATATGCATTCTCAGCAGAATCAGCAGCACTCTGTCTCTCCCTCTCTCTACGTGTGTGTTGCCAGGCCTCCCTCCTCCCGTTCATAAAGTACTTGTCTGTCACGTTGTTCATCAAGATCTACTGTGTGGCGAAGTACCATCTTTCTGATATTAAAAATGCCATTGAACGAAATTTTCCCTTGTGCTTTCTAAGCGACCATGGGACAGTATTGGAAAATTTGTTCGCACTTTCACTTTGTAGTCAGCTTTTTTCCCTCCGGTGCTTTTTGGTTGTCTCCTGGAGCATCCGGAAGAACAAGAAAATAATGTTGCCCAAGTGAGTTTTTTGTGTTTTCCTCAAGCAAAACAAAAATCCAAAAAAAAGTAGTGCGAGGAGAGGGGAAAAAACACTTCGTGCATTAATCCGAATTATTCACGCTATTGAGAATTTTTATGTGAAACGATTGCTTTGCCGTAATTTGTTCACTTACAATTGTTGTATCGTACAAGTCTATCATCTGCCTCTTTCAGTCGTTCGTAGCAGCAGTTGCCTGTTGATTATTCAGGTAATTTGAACTGCTTCTCGTTTGTAACTTGATTTAACCTCAGAAACGAAGAAATTCAAAATTGGTTGAGGGAAAAAGTAAAAAATTGTTTTTGCATTTTTTTTAGTTTTCTACGAAAATTCTGAATTTTTGTGTTAAAAACCAGCTTTTTTCTTTTTTCCCACAGAATATGAAATTTTTTTCTTTTTGATTTGAAAGTGCGCCCAGTGATTTGCTGGAGAAGCACTGCATGGTAGGTATCATTCGCGGCAAGCGTATTTCATCTTTCGTTTTCTCTTTAGCATCAATAATTACGGGTTAACGAAT